CACCCACTGAGAACTGCAGCCCTGCCAGTATTCCCTAGAGCAGCGGTCGCCAACCTTTCGGACCTCATGGACCACCAGTGGTCTGCGGACTACCAGTTGGCAACCACTGTCCTAGAGACCACAGTTTTGCTTCTCCATTGGAAACAGCCTAAACATCCAACTACATGGGACAAGGTGAATGACAGTGGCTCAGCTATACACTCAGTATTCTGTAGCTATTAAGGTTAAGGTTATAGGTCAGGCTGATTCCGGGGTTCAACCAGCCTGGCTGAGTATGGAAGCACTGCCCAGGACAAAGCAATTCTGCAGAGGCGGGAGGCGGATTCTTTTGTTGGTTGGTTGGTGAGTTGGTTGGTCTTGGAGTTTTGCTTTTATTTTTTGTTTTAGCTTCTGACATTAAAGGAAATGTCTGTCAAAACACTAGCTGAACACAGACTGAGAAACGGATCTCAGTGAATGCAGTCTGTGCAAAAAATAGTTTAGGAAAATTACACACAAAAAAGTTTGTATAAAATTAATATCATGGAACAATATAATACATTATTTCTTTAAAATACAGGTTATTTAACAGTGTGGTCTTATTTTAGTTAAAGAGTGTGTGTGTGTGTGTGTGTGTGTGCACAAAAATGGCTGGAAATGCATGTCCCAAAATATTAGCAGGTTATTGCTGGGTGATGGGATCATAAGTGATTTAAATTTTTTATTTTTGTTTTACAGTCCCCCCCCCACTCCCCATAATCCTATATAATAAAGAGCTAATATGCAAATAGTCACCATGCCCTCACACCGCCATAAGAGCTCAGACACTCAACACTGGGGAGAGAGGAATGGGGACCAGCCAGGCTGCAGCCTGGGAGAGGGAAAAGCCGCCTGCCCCACAGTTCTGGGCGCCTGCGGTCCAGGCAAAGCCACCTGCCCATGGTCCCCTGTGGCTGCAGCTGGCCCAGGTGAGCCAGCCCGGTCCTAGGTGCCTGCAGCTGGCCAGAGGGAGGGAAGCCGGGGTCCCAGGTACCTGCGACCGGCCGGAGGAGGGAATCCTGGGTCCTGGGTGCAGGGCGAGGCAGAGGTGGTTAGGGGTGATCAGGCAGGCAGAGGGGGTAGGGGCGATCCGGCAGGCAGGCAGGCGAGCGGTTAGGAGCCGATGGTCCCAGATTGCGAGAGGCAGTTGGACATCCCCCAAGGGGTCCCAGATTGGAGAGGGTGCAGGCCGGGCTGAGGGACCCTACCACCCCCATGCATGAATTTCATTCATTGGCCTCTAGTACTTATAATAAATGTATGATATTTGTGATAGCTCAAAGTTTTATTTTTTCTAATGACCTACTGCATTACTTCTGCCATGAACAGTCAGGTGTGAAGGTTTGTGAAACCTCCCTTCCTTGAGCCTCCCTGCCTCATCTCCCAGACATGGCGCACTAGCCCTCTAGAGTCGCCCCAACAGAACTGCTTCACAGAGAGGCCATATAAAAACTGCCATCCCTGGAATTTCCTGCCTTTACTTGACAAAACTGCTGTTGAAGACATTTTTCACTGGATCTTTGAGGCCCCTTATACAAGGCCCTGGGTAACCACCTCACCATTCAGGACAAGAGAAAGCTTGTAATGAACAGGTGGCTTCTCCCTTGGACAATGAGGGGATGTGATTTCTCCCCATCCCCACCCCGACTCAGCGGGGGGCAGCTGAGGGGCAGTCGCTTTTCTCTCCTCAGTTGTCTGATGTGTTCATTCCCGACCTCTCCCTCTCAATTACTTGGCTTTTCCCTTCTTTATGACTTCTATTTTGTGATAACATTTTCACTATAAGCTAGGTCAACCCTTTTTGCAATTAGACAGGAACAGAGATACTTAAATGTCCTTCCTCTGTTACAACACAGGCCCCTGAAGGTGTGGACTGGCTTTTCCTATTTATATCCCCAGGCCCTAAAACAGGGCCTGGCACATAACAAATGGCCAATAAATGTTGGATGGATGGATGGATGGATGGATGGATGGATAGATGGATGGATGAGTAACCAAAGAGCCAAGGTAGGAGGAGTGCTTCTGCACAACCACCCGGGCACCATGGTTGGCTCCTGTCTCGCCAGGCAATTATCGTGGTCCCTGGAGCCTGTGCTCCTGCCGCTCTGACTGCTGACGGCCAGTTCTCCTGGGAGGAGCTGAGACCTGCCTGACTTGATGAGCATATTGGCTGGATTTATACTCGCCCTTCCCATCCTACTCTGTTCCCTCTTACCAGTTTCAACTTTTACTTATTTGTACCCTAAACTACATTTTTAAAAGCTGACCCAAAAATAGTGTCCTTAACTAAGTCCCTCTCCACAGCGTCATGTCACAGCACAAGGAGCTCTAGTCAAGGCAGGAGGCACGGGCTCTTGTGTTGACTGCCAGGACGCCCCGTGTGCTCTCTGTAACACACGGCTATTGTGCTATCCTTGCTGGCTCCCAGCATTGTTGTGAAGATTCAGCCGAGGTATGTGGTAAGAGATGAAATGCTGAATCTGAGGGCTGAAAAGGCAGGGTGAGGGGAGGTCGTCAGCCCTGAGGGGTCGCTGGCAGTCATACCGCCGCAGCCAGCAGGGAGGAGCTCCTGTAGCGAAGCGTGGCATCCCATGCATCTTATTTCTTGTTCTAAAAGCCACTCCTGTGTCTGGCGAGTTTGGATGTGGGGACCCCACCAGAGAGCCCTGGAACAGGCCCGGGTACGGACTGTGTGCTTTAAGGGAGAACGCCCCTCCCGCAGCTCCCCTCTCCTCTTTGCTTCCGGTGGAGAGGGCATGTCACCAAGTCTGTGGTTTCTCCTTTTGCAGGAACAGCTTGAGAGCTACGACTTCACCAAATTCCACTCGCTGAAGCCCAAGCTGATCGAGGCCGTGGACAACATGCTGACCAGTAAGATCTCATCCCTGATGAGCCTCATCAGCCAGGAGGAGCTGAACACGCCCATGCAGCTCGTGCAGGGCGGCGCCTTCGATGGCACCTCGGAGGGCCCCTTCAACCAGGGCTACGGGGAGGGCGCCAAGGAGGGTGCCGACGAGGAGGAGTGGGTGGTGGCCAAAGACAAGCCCGTCTACGATGAGCTCTTCTACGCCCTGTCGCCCATCAATGGCAAGATATCAGGGGTCAACGCCAAGAAGGAGATGGTGACCTCCAAGCTGCCCAACAGCGTCCTGGGCAAGATCTGGAAGCTGGCCGACTGTGACTGCGACGGCATGCTGGACGAGGAGGAGTTCGCGCTGGCCAAGCACCTCATCAAGATCAAGCTGGACGGCTACGAGCTGCCCAACAGCCTGCCTCCCCACCTGGTGCCCCCCTCTCACAGGAAGTCCTTTCAGAAGGCCGACTGAGGGCGGGCCACCCGCAGGGCAGGCAGTGCGGGGTGGGGCTCCTGGGACTGGGGCCTGAGGTCCTCGCTGCCACTGACTCACTGAGTGACCCCGAGAAAGGCACTGCCCTCTCTGCCTCAGTTTCCCCATCTGTAGAATGGGGAGGGCAGACACTGGACACTAGATGAGGTCCTTTCACCTCTAAAATTCCCTGAGTTTTTATTAAAATACTGGGGGGAGATGGGTAAGGAGATTGTAACTGTGGAAAAGAAATGGAAATTGACCAAAGAGTACTCAGAATCCTGGAGAGACGTAAGTGTGGGGGTGGGCTTGCTGGAGCCCCAGGAGATTGGGGTGTGAGCTGGGGCTTCCCTGGACCACTCATCATCATAAACCTGTTTGCCCTGTGGGAGCAAAGATAATCTTGTTTGTTTCCTTATATATTTAGGGGGGAGGGGGAGAATAGGGCAGAGAGGGTTTCTGTTCTCTCTAAACTGTCTACCAAAGAGAAGGCGATGGTGCCCACAGTTTGAAAGCAGGGTGTAGTGCCTGCCTATGCCCATGCCTTCTGCAGCCCCGAGCAGAACAGGCAGCTGGCCGCAAACAGGGTTTGTCCCAGCATCACGCTCACTGGCCCTCCCAGCACCCACCCCCGGGCCTTCCCCGCCAAGTTGTATTTGGTTAGGAACTTGGAATTACTTAGGAATTAATTAATTCGTTTTATTAGCCCCAGCAAGATTTCAAGTCATGTTGGAGTCTGAAGATTAGCTTTTCTTACTGGTCTGTCCAATAATTTGTAGCAAAGTCTATTTATCATACTCACACTACAGTGAGGAAAGAGGTGGTTCTCCCCAGCTGTCACTTAGCCTTGTTACATGCCCCCGGGCTCCTTGCTCAACGGCAGGATTTAAATTCAGCAAATCGTGTCTCAGTGAGCACAGAGGCCGGGCCTGCGGACACGGGAATGAGAAGCTAGCCTGCACGGCTGTCAGGGATAAGAGATCGGTCTACTAGCCTTAGATACTATTTTTATTTTTTAAAGGCATTTTTATTATGTCTAGGTTTTTGGTTTTTCCTTATAGGATAAAAGCCTTTATACAGAAACAGGATGAAACCTTTCCTATAAAGCCTTTTCTTCAAAGAGCTGTGTGGCTTGTATCATGAATGCCCATCACGAGGCAGGATTTGGGCAGGCCCGCATCTAGTGGCTCCCTGAGGGTCTCTCTCAGGTCCCCCGTGTCAGTCCCTCTGGACCATGCACTTGGGCCCTGTGTCGGGTGGAGGCGTTAATGCTCGCCTCCACCCTCCCTGCCATGTGGGCGCTGGCTCGGCCCAGTGCCTTTCACCATGACTTGGGCAGTAAAGGGGAGAGACGCAAAATAATGACGGCGTGGCCGCATGGCAGGGGCCCTGCCAGCACCAGGCATGCGTGAAATCAGAGCAGCCCCACCCGAGCCTCCCAAAAGCCACATTGTGGTTTTTTCTGATGTTACCTGTGACATCAGGGTCAGAACTGCAGGCTTAAGAGAAATGTTTTACTTGAGAGAAGCATGCGTCCAGATGCCAGCCCGCACACTCCCTAGCTTGCTGTCTCAATAATTTTGTTTTAAGAGAAATAAATGCATAGCATGGTTTTTATTCTTACTGACTCCCTGAGCCCCACGAACTCGCTCTCCATCTTCGCTAAGAAGGGAAAAGCTGCTGTATTATGAGCAGAGTTCTGTGAATGCATGGGGACTGCCCACCTGGGTAGCACAGTGGCGTCCACCGAAGGGCAGCACCGAGAGAGGAAGAGAGAGAGTTCAATCGTCCACAGATTCAGAGATGCCAGGGTTAGCCAATTTTCCATCCAGAATTATCTTGCTGCTTTAACTCTACTGAATTGTCACATATAAAGATAAATATATACACATATATGTCACATAAATATGTATTTTTGAACTTGTCAATGTGTACATATGTAAATATGGCCAAAGGTTGCGTATGTAGAGACATGTAAGAAAAGTGTTTTAGGGAGCCAATGGACTGAGGTTTCTGGTTTCTGTGTGGACGGAAACGGATGGCATTGTGACCTCTACCCCATGCCCTCGGGGAGAGCATCGGACAGCTGAATCCTTTCCCTGCTGAGGAAAAAAAGGGGGAAATTGTGTGACCCTTTTTTCTTAATATCTTCTCTCCCACATGAAGTCATTGGAATTGACTGGAAAGAAAAACACTGGGAAACATTAGGGATGGCCCCCAAGTGAGAAACCATATCTTCCCAGGACTGGCACAAAGTTCCTTTAATTGTGTCCGAAACTTCCATTATCCCCAACCCCACGCAGCAGGGCAGGGGGACAGGAGGGCCTGTCCATCTCGATGGACCTTCTTGCCATCCCACGCCACCCCAGTTCTCAAAGTTCCCCTCCCCGGAGTGTTTACAGGTGGTTGGGAGGGTGGCAGTAGGTAAACTCTAGCTCTAAGAACTATCTTCGCGCTCCCCATGGTTCCACAAGAGAAAATCTGGTTGTACACAGCACGTGATACCACATAACAGACCTCTGCAGTCTGGCGTTTGGCGGGGAATGGAGACTTGAGCCTCCTCTTCCCAGTTGTGAGCCTGCTGCGAGGCCCTCCTGCACCATCTGCAAAGGACCCGCACTGAGACCTGCCCAGCTTCCCGGCTCTGTCCCACGTGCAGGCGGCCCCCTGCCTCAGCCTCCGGCTCCGGCCCAGCCTCTCCCCTTTCTCCCCGAGCACCTGGACGGCCCACGGCGGGTCCCTCCTCAGCGGGGAGGGCCGTTCAGTGAGTTGGCTTTTGCTTCCCCAGGGCTAGACTGGGCTCTGTTTGGAACAGTCATTGCGCAGCAGTAGTATCTTTGGACTTGGGCTTTGGTTGCTCCCACAAATGGAGGGCCTTGAAGAGCTGAATTCTTATTCTATTATCAGAGGACTGAGGGTCCAGGTGGGTTAGAGGGTGTGAGCAGCAAATGCCTCCTGCTCTCTCCCCAGCCCCTGCCCTCCTTACCAGCTCACAGGAGACGCCCTGGCAGAGCCTGGCCCCCTGCCCCAACCACAGTCCCTCCCAGTGTCTGCGGTCCTCAGGAGCCCCTCTCCGCCCCCCGGGGAACGTCTTGTACTGGAGTCCACCGCCCGGCGTCTTGCCGGACACCCAACACCTGGATAAGTCGCCTTGAGGATAAGGAGTGCATTTAACAAGAAGAACATTCTTGGGACAGATAAGCACTGAGTTTATTCAGGTAAACGGGCCTGATTTAAGAGTGTGTCAGGTTACCTGTCAATTAGCCAATGCAGTTAATACACAATGCTTCTGTTCGTTTTGTAACCTTGTTTAGAAGTCAAACAAAAGACACCGTCTACTGATCAATAAACTTCTGAAAAAATCACCACCTTTCCTCCGCTGGCTCTGGTTGTCCAGGGGCTGCCCGAAGCCGTCCGCAGGTCTGCGGTAAAGCGGGGATCCCTGCCATCTGTTCTGAAACCAGGCGGGGTGAGGGGGCGAGTGCCCCCTGTGACTCCCGACCTCCTGTGCCCTCTAGGGGGGGCTCCCCCAATGGGGCTTTAAAAGGAAAGCAGCTCAGCCACGGGGCCGGGGCCAGGTCTGGGCGCAGGCCCCCAGGGAAGCTGACCTCCAACTGAGACTGGAAGCCAAGACCAGAGGGGACCTGGGAGGTGGGCCCTTCCGAGGACGGATGGGCATCACTGAGCACCTCGAAGGAGCAGTCCTGCCACAAGGTCCACTCCCTGCACACAGGACGGGGCAGTGGTACCAGGTGGAGCCCTGGCTGCTTGGACTGCTCGCAGGTGTGGACCAGAGCAGACACCTGGGTCTCCCCACCGGCACCCACCTACCTTCTGGGGATCTAGACCTAGATCTCCTTTGCAGAGCACGTCCCACTCACTCCCCCACCCTCAGTCTGAGCCGTCAGGGTTGGCTGAGATCAGCCCCTCCCCACTCTGTCCGGGGTGGGTCCTGAGCCAAAGTATTTCATCCCCCTGCTCACAGAGATTGGTTCAGGACTGGATCGTTTCAGTGAGGACTCTGAGAGCCAGACCCCTCAGACTTCTGTTTCAGTTCTTAGCAGAAATGCTCTCTTCTCTGAATCCTGCCGTGTAAAAAAACACGCCTGTTAGTGCAGCAGTATAAATGGCCTTGAAATGGTGCACAGAGCTGCTGGGGTAGGGGAGGGAGGGTGGGCAGAGAGGACCCAGTCCTGTGGGGGCATCCTTTGAGCTGCTGGGTCAAACCTCACCTAAAGTCCTCCTCCCTCACGCTTCCCTTATGTGGGCCAATATATTCCCTTCACATTGTTTAAACCCATTTGACTTGAGATTCCACTTACTTTCGAGGTAAGTGATCCAAAACCACCAGGGACTCTCATTTCCGCCGGGGCGCGGTCAGTTGCTGCCAAAGAAGCCGCCCTGGGGTGCAGGGCTTTTCTGCAGCTGCGCTAAGTGGGGAGGAACGCGGTCCCCCAGCCGCACACACAGCCTCAGCTACAGCGACCGCTGCTGAGACCTGTGTGCAAGCATCGTGCAGCTCCCCGTGGTCGCATCACAGGGGGACGGTCTTACCTGGGCCAAGGTCTTACTAGGAGGGGGAACAAGCTGGGGGGGTGAAAGGGGGTACTTCCTAGAAGGAGCAGGTTTTAACTGGGGCAGATAGGATAGGGCCGTGGTCCGCAAACTGCGGCTCACGAGCCACATGCGGCTCTTTGGCCACTTGAGTGTGGCTCTTCCACAAAATACCGACTTCTGCACATGGGCCACGAAGTTTCAATCACACTACGTGGGCGCCCACACGTGGTATTTTGTGGAACAGCCACACTCAAGTGGCCAAAGAGCCGCATGTGGCTCGCGAGCCACAGTTTGCTGACCACTGCATCCGATAGGGGAATGGAGAGTAGAAGGGAATTTTAAGCTGAAGCGCAGATGTGGGCAGGAAAGCTGTTTCTGCCCAGGCAATGGGAGTCTTCCTGGGTGTGAGCAGAGCTGTGCTCCGGGAGGTAAATCAGGGCCGTGAGCAGGTGCCATGCAGGCAGGACGACAGGCTGGGGGCTGTGATGAGCACCTGCAGGGGCAGGGAGAGTGGATGGGACGGGAGGGTGGACCATGGAGCACTGGGGGGGCCGCAGTCGCAGCCACTGGTGATAGTGGATCTGGGCGGGGAGCGAGGACCTCACAGGGAGAGGACCACGGGAGGAAGCTCCTCTCAGATGTAGGGGAGTTGCCCCATTCCAAGAGCCACAGCCCGGGTTCAGTGTGAGTCGCCCTCCCTGGCTCTCAGGCTCAGGCAGTGGCCGCACCTCCCCTCGGGGGCCTTGCCTGTCAGGGACACCTCCCTGGGGAGTGTTGTGTCTCCCCCAGTCTCCCAGGGCTGCTGGGTGGGCGACCACAGACACGTCCCCCGCTCGGAGTTCAG